ACTGGCAACTCAGAAATTAGTTCTGATTTTATGCTAACATCAGTGCAACAGTTGTGAATGCCAGTACTGTCCCCCCAGGGTTGGTGTACTCTATGGCTACAGGGCAAACAGGCATGCCAGAAAGCTACACCCAGAAGGCAGCTCCAGATAAGCAAAAGTTATTCCCAATTAGTTTCCCCAGAGAAGCTCTACTTTCCTTTACTGCAAGAACCACTGGACATGACTCATTGCATTTTGTTTGTTCATTTTGCTATATATATTTCCCAAACATTATTTTTAGTCACATTTCTCCCTTATGCTCCTACCACATTCACTGTGCTAAAACAACTCTAATTTTAATTTCATATTTTACCAAAACAAGCGTGGCATAGTTCTGCTCATTTCAGTAAAGCTATGTTGATTTGGATTATACATATAGATACGAACAAAAGTGGTCAGAGGGGAAGACGAGGGTACTGAAAAAAGGAGGAGCAAATTTACCTGTATAAAGCTCCCATATTTTGCCTGTTTAACGAAACACTTTCACATTAACACAGCTAGATTCCTGCAGATGGTTAGATGGGTCACATGTATTTGCTTCTTCCTCCAACAGAATCCACTGCATAGGTTTTCCTAAAGCTTTTGGCACAAAGCTTCCATTGCAGCTTTTTAAATTAAATTTAATTTTTTTGGAGCTACTATCTGACATTTCTACCCCACTCTTTCAAGCAGCTCTCCTGCTTCCATGCCTTATTTTCCCTTCTTGGAAAAACAAAAAACAAACAAACACAACAGTACACAAATACATCGCCAGAGACTAATTGCAAAGACTCACTAAAGCCAGAGAATAATTCAGAGTGGAAGAGACTTCTGGAGGCCACCTGGTTCAACTCCTACTAAAAAGCTGAACCCAAACATGAGTTTGCTCAGGGCAATGTCCAGCTAAGTTCTGAGCATCCAGCTTTTCTAGATAACCTATAGCAGTTTTCAGTGTAGTTCTCTGCAAACACAGCCACAGTTCCTTTACATCCAGAAGGTAGCTAAAACTTTAAAAAAAAAAAAAGTCAGGGAAAGGGTGGATCCTGGCTCCACCCCTTTCCAATCACTCAGGTGCATTGTATGCACCTGAGCTCCCCTGGATTGGCCCTGCCTGCCTACCAGCTGTTCAATCACTACTTCAGGCCATGACTGCTACATCATAACAGCACAAAGCTTTGCATCAGCCTCTGCAGAATATCATGAAATCTGTCAGCCCATTTCCCATCATCTTGACGTCCTTCTAAAAGGCAGCCCCATCCTCTAGCCTACAGACTGCTTCCCTACTTTTGTTTCATCTGGGAAATGCGATTATATTCCATACCCTCAAGAAGGTGTTTAGCAGCAATATTCCCAGGAGAACACTGCTTATAACCAGTTACTGAATAAATTTTGACTTTCTGATCACTGCCTTTTGAGCCCTGGGACTCAATTTTTCACTCACCTGAAAGCTCATGTTTCATGCCATACCTCCACAAGCGTCTGTAAAGATGCTATAGGAGACAAAGTCAAAAGCCTTGCTAATGTCAAAGTAAGCTGTCCTCTTGGTCTTCGATTTTTGTTGTATAAGAGCATCAGATTAGTCAGGTACTGTTTGTCTTCCTGAATGCTCCCAGTCACCATCTTCTCCCTTATTTGCCTAGAAATTTCTTCCAGGTGATTTTCCTTCACATGCTTCCCAAGAACTGATGGACTGACCGGTCTGCAGTTCCACAAATCTTCCTCCTTCCTCTCCTTTTCACATGGGCATCACGTTTGCCCTTCTCCTGGGGTCTCTCTTAGTTGCCACAATATTTCAAAGATAGGAGAGACTGACTTTGTACTGACATAAGCCACTACCTTAGCATTCTTAGATGCATCCTGTCTGATTCTATGAACATTTATCTGCCTTTATAAATAAAAGGTATTGTAATAAAAAATACAACAGACCTAGTGGGACATAGATCAAAATAAACTTAGCTATGAATGCAATACTTCATGATTTTTTTGGAATAGATTTATAGAAAAACCAAACCAACCAAACAACCAAACAACAACAACAAAAAAACACCTCCATGACCAAATAACCTGATTTTGACAGTTCGATACTTGGACACAGTAAGTCCATCTCCTTCACCTCTTTGTTGCCTCACCTCAGGGCAGAACCAAAATGGTACAGGTAGCCTGAGTTTTAGGCCAGATGTAAGCTGTCCCTAATACAATTTGGAAAGGTATTCTGTATGACCTCATATACCTGATGAAGCACTGCTGAGCTAAGATAGAAATGTTTCTTTCATCAATGTATGATGAACTTCAGCCTCTTTCTCTGTCACTTCTAGTTGGGATGAGATCTGTCCTGTTTATAAGACATATGCTGATGATCCCATGAGAGGGAAAATAAAAGCAGGAGCCTGCCAAGTTCCACTGGACTCTTCCCACTGGAAGCAGAACTAATGTTTCCTTAAACTAGCAAGGTAAAATAAAATGGATGCAACCCAAACTTATCAACATGGCCAGATAAATGCACCAGGCTTTGCTATTTTGAAAGAAATTAGTTATTTATGAGAGGAAACCAGGGTTGTTACATTATTTATGAAGAGTTACTTTCTCCCAAGACAGCAAAAATCCACTGGGAACTGTGTTATTTTATGTGATACATTGTGAACAGGACTATTTCTCTATTTAAAATGAACAGCTGAGAGTGGCAAAAGAAAACACGGGAGCTGCAGGTGAAAAACTCATTGCTCTTCTGAGGGCATTGCCTTGGCATTTAAAGAAAGTTTTTGTGCAACAAAACTATTCCTTCTCTCTCAACTACAAACCCAGGAAGAGAAGAGGAGAGGAGAGGAGAGGAGAGGGGAGGAGAGGAGAGGGGAGCCCACGAAGGTCAGCATCTGTAATTCCCCATTTCTTGCTCTTAACTCTAAGGAAAACTGGGCTGGTGTTAAGGCGTGGTTGCTAGCACAGGTTATCTGCCTTGCTGAAAGTGAAACATAGGGAAAATAAGACATTTTACTACTGCAAAACCCAGGGAATACCTTCAACTTAGTGTGTTTATTGTATGGGAAATGTTGAGTCATGGCCTGAAACACTGATTGAGTACCTAGGAAAAAGACCTGGTCAGCCCTGGGAGCACAGGTGAAGGCAATTCATCTGTGTGACTGGGAGGGGTGGAGCCTGGCTGTACCTTTCCTAGACCTCAGCTAAAGGCTGACTGCTCCTAGAGAAGGATTTCTTTCTGGAGATCTCTCTTCAGTGAACTTTTCCATATAAACCTGAAACCTGATAAGGGTGAACAATCATCTTCTCTTCCTTTATAGTACATTTCTATCATGCTAGTCTCTCTGATATCACACCTTTGTTGTAATGCCTTTCCCATCATATTCATCTGCCTAATTGCTACAGTTTATCTTGTCATAAAGCTAAAACCTGTACTGAGTTTACACCTGTAACATTGATTTACCCTTATCAACATGAAGTTAAAAAAAAGAAAAAAATCTCTGTTTCTTGCCCTTATGGCTCAGCACTATACCTGATCTCAAAGGTTGGCCCCTTTTCTTTTGAAAATGGAGGGGAAAATAGCTGGCCAGTTGATCACAACATATTCTGTATAGCAAGCAGTTGGCAGATCACAGGGAAGCCAAATTTTAGAATCCCAAATTTCAAAACCATCTGAGTCATGCTATCCCTCAACTTCTCACTGCTGCTTGCCCATCGTGTAGAGCTGCTATGCGCTACTCTGTGCAGTGAGTGGCAGATGGCTGGTACAGTAGCTTGGAGCATTTGGGACTCAGGAGAGCTAAATCCCTGTTCCACATGAGTCTTTCTCAACTCTAGGAGGAGTTCATGCTACTGAGTTTTGGAAGGGGAGAGCGGAGTCCACTTTTGTCTCTTGTATCAAACTCTGATTCACCCTGCACTGATACTGACTTGCAGTACTCTCTTAATTGGGAAAATCACTGGGATAGTACTCGCTGCCAGAATTCTGGGTCATAAAGTCATTCTCTGACTCAGAAGAAGGTTTACAACAGCTGTGGCTGTGATACGTGCTCTAGGTGAGTCATATTGGGCTATTAGCACGAAGAGAAGAGCCTCATAAAACAGAAAGATACAGAGATGCACTGACCCATCTAAATTATCTTGCATTTGTTATTCTACAGCAAAGGACTTGACAATGTTTTGTCATGAGCTCAGTTTTCAGGAATGCAACACTTAAAAAATGAAGTTACTGAGACACGCAGGAATCCCAAACTGATTTTGAATTTAGAGGGTAAAAGTTGGGCTGAAATAAGTTTTCTGGCAGGTGTTAAACTTGTGGGGGCATGCTGATGTGAGACGTCTCAGAACCTGATCCCAGAGTCATGGGGCAAGAGCTGTGGCACTGACTTGGTGGGCATCCACTGCCTGCATGCTGAATCCTGTGATGAACCAGCCTCATAAAGCTCATACCACAAACCAGTGCCAACAATATGGAGCATGTGGATAACTCTGCTCTCCGGCCACAGGTTGAGATGTACGTGCTTTATGAGTTACAGCCTTTTAAGAGTTGGCCGCTCTGAGGACCAACCCTATGAAGCAGCTGCCCCACAGCACCATGTTATCACTGGAAAAACCAAGAGAACGTATATCTTTGGCATCCTTTTCTCCTTCCTATCACACCAGGACGAGGCCCCTCAGGCACCAGGTGTTGGGTTTTTTGTCAGTTTGGAACAGACTGCCTTGTGCAGGAGAAGGGCGTTCATCGATGAGGAGCGGGCCTCCGCGCCCACCCCTCAGCCTCGGTCAGCCCGCTCTGAGGGCCACCTGCCCTCTCCCCACGGGCGGTTTCCCGCCAAACGCGGCTGGCAGGGGCGGCCACCTCCGCTGCAAAGCGCGCGGCCAGCCGCGGCGCCCGGAGGACGCCGTCGCCCTTCGCGCACGGGGCGGCTACGGGCGCCCGAGGTGGGCACCGAGTCTGCAGCCGCGCCACATCCGCGCGGGGCTCAGCGTACGCGGCGGGCAGCGGAGGACGCGTCCGGCTGCGGGGCCTCACCGCGGCAGCGCCGGCTTGCCCCCGGCTGCCGCTTTCATTCATGCTTTCTCCTTCGCCATCTCCCTCTCTCTCCGAGCGAGTGAAAACAGGAGTGCGCGTGGGCGGCCGCCGAGCGGCTCGCTGTCAGTCAGCCGCCGCGCTGCGAAGAAGGCGAGCGAGGGAGAAGGAGGGGACCAGCTTTCCCCGGCAAGGGGAAGCTCTGTCGGCGCTGCCGCTGCCTGCCGGCCTCGCGGCTCTTCCCGGGGGCATCCGCAGAGCCTCTCGGCCCGCGTTGGGGGGGGCTGCGGGGAGGCGGCTCCTCGCCCGCTATCGGCACCTGCCCCCCCCCCCGCCCCTGTCTGGCGGAGGGGTCCGCGCCGCCGGCGGCGCGCGCGTGTGTACGTGTGTCTGCCAGGGGCCGCCGCAGCGGGGAGAGGCGCGAGGCAAGTCGTGACGGCTTCAATGGCCGTAGCGGCTCCGGGCGGGCGCTGAGCGGCGGGTGCTGCGCGCTGCGGGGCTGAAGGCTTCGCGGGGCGGGGGGTGCGCGGCGCTCAGAGGATCGCCGACCCCGCCCCGCCGCAGCGAGCGGCTCTGCCTTTGTGCTTCCTCCGCACCTGAGGTGCGAGGCCGGGAAGGGAGGTAAGGCTGCGCGGCGCTTCTCCGTCGGCCGCTTCCCGTTTCGTTCCGGGGAAGGAAGGAACGCGGAGGGGCGAGAGGCGGCGGCGGCCCCGCTGACGGGCTGGGGGCTGCGGGGCGGGGGAGGGGCTCGCTCGGGAAGGAGCGGGCGGTTCGGAGAGGCTGCTCTCGAAACGAGCGCGGCCGTGAGTTCGCTCCGGCCGGATGTTAGCAACAGCTTCGCCGCGCCGTCCCGGAGCTGGCGGGTGAGTGGCGGCGCTCAGAGCGCGGGGCCGGCGCGGCTGGTAGCGGAGCGCGGGGCGCCGGCTGCTGCAGCGGGAGGCGGCTGCATGTGCGCCCCGAGAGCTGGGCTGAGAATTACGGCTGCGAAAGGGTTTGATTGGGCAGCGCTCGCAGCCGGGGGTTGCGTTGCGTGCTGGGGTTAGAGATTGAAACGAAGTGCGGCCGTGTCGTCCTCTGTTCTGACATCGTAAGCGTTGCGTGTGCAGAAGAAGCGTTTTGGGGGTTGATTTGTTTTCTCAAGCACTTGGAGATGATTTTTGCTGTGTGCATCCTATAGGGCATTCCTAGAGGGAATGGTTTTAAACTGAGACAGGGGGAGGTTTAGGTTACATATTAGGAGGAAGTTTTTCACACGAAGGGTGGTGAGGCACTGGAACAGGTTGCCCAAGGAGGCTGTGGATGCCCCATCCCTGGAGGCATTCAAGGCCAGGCTGGATGTGGCTCTGGGCAGCCTGGTCTGCTGGTTGGCGACCCTTCACATAGCAGGGGGTTGGAACTGGATGAGCATTGTGGTCCTTTTCAACCCAGGCCATTCTGTGAATCTTTGTAGTATTTTGCTGCGTTTTTGTCTGTGTGGATTTCTTTTTTAACTTCTCATTCTGCATTACATTTATGGATTAAGGGCTGAGCTTTAAAATGTTTTTCATTATGGTGCAGAGTTGTCAACTGGATGCCATGCTTGTAAAACTAGAACAGAAACCTCTAAATGACAAGATCAACAATTTCAGGAGGTCAATATAGAAGGCACAACAGAAATGTCAATCTGAGTGTTTATAGGATGTGTCTTCTAATATGAATGTATAAAGCAGGAGAGCAAATGAATGCATTCAGCGTGAACATACCTAAACTTCTTTGAAATGGAAGGGTTTTCTTTTGTGGGTTTTTTTTCCACTTTGGCATGCAGTTCATGTTTAGGAAGAATTGTATTAGTTTTGGTTTTGTTTGTCTATGGAGGAAAAAAAAAAAAAAAAAAAAAAAAAGCCAGAAAGGGAAGAGGAGTTGCTTAGCATTTATGGATTTTTTTATTTTTTTGGTGGTGGTTGGGGTTTGTTTTGTTTTCCTGGGATCTCAAAATTCCATCAGGCAGTAGGATGCTTTCCATTACCTGGAAAGGCAGATGTTGCTGCAGCAGGGGAAATTACACTGACTTGTAGCATAAGAAGGGGTGAGGAAAAAATCCTGTGACTCCTTTTGTTTCTGTATAAAACATCAGTCAAATATAGAGCTTTAAGTCCCTCAGATAGTCGGACTGTTGGAAGCAAGAATTTAGTTCTGTGGTGTCTGCTCTATTCAGGGCTTGTTAAGAGAAGAGATTAGATATGCAAGACAGTTAAGTTCAATTAAGAGAGGAAGTGAAGCTAATGCACAAATTAAGAAATTTCTCTTTGCAGAATAAAATGAGTTCATTTGTCACATCCTCTGTTAAAGAATTCTACCTACTTGGTTTCACCTGTAAAGCTGTCTGCAAACCTCACCAAAGGTGATTTTTCCCAGGATTTGTTGATTGTTGGCTGCTCAACCAAATGGCTTTGACCTGTGTGCTGCTGAATCAGAAAGAAGAGGCAGTAGAGTCTTACAGCCTGTAGGTTTTCTAGAAGAGGTTTTCTGATTGATATCTTTGTTTTTTTTAAAAAAGTTCACAGTGAAATCTCATCCTTGCTGAAATTGCTGAGAATTCTTTGTTGCAATTCTTCCTAGGTTAGCTTCTTTTTCTGCATAGACCACAGTCAAGTATGACTGATGTGACCCTAGGGTCAATTTATGATGAGATAGAGATTCTGTGGTTAATCTATGAAGAATTTATTTCTAGTTTTTGAATATAACATGTTTCTACTTCAGAGGATGTTTGAGACTCCTTGCGAATGAAACATGCAAGTGAAAGTCATGAACTGAAGACTTGTGTTAGCTTTTAGCAAAGCAAGGCCGGAGGAGATACTGAGTACATCCTTCAGGCCCTGCTTATATATTGGTTTGATAAATAAGTTCAATCTAACAGCAGGAAGTGACTCAAAATGGCAAAAAAGGAAGCAAAAATCCCTTACCTTTGAGGTATTTGCTCACCTGTTTCGTGTCAGGCAGACGGCACGCGGCGGGGTTTGCATCTTTGGGTCCTTATAAATGTAGTAGGTGAGCCATGATATGCAGGAAAGACAGTGGTCTCCAATGTCTCTGGAACACAACAGGATTTCTTAATCCTACTGTGGAGCTTAGGCAGTTTTTTGGCTCTTCACACTATGTTGATGGTATAGAACCAGTTTGACTATTTTGCTACCATTCCTATCATTAGAAGTGTTAGTGCAACCTTCAGCATTTTTATAACAAAGCTGACATGTAGATGCCACTGCATGCGTTAGCAGTAATTCTTGGTTTTGACATAATTTCATCCTTCAGGTATAAATAACTCACTTGAATTAAAGGGAGACAGTGATCCTCGTTGTAGAACATCAGATAAATACCTTCCAACAAACACTGCTGTATAATAAGTCTATTTAGACCTTTTTTTCTACAAATAATGCATATGATGCTGGGTTTGCATAGCAATGAGTTGTTGAAAAAGAGCTAATCAAATGTATTACGTTTTATGCGCATTAATTTGTTTAGGTTGTTACCTATTTTCATAATCCTTTGTACAAAGCTGATCGTTCAGACAGACCAGAGGTTTGAATGGGTTTTGAAATCTTCAGTGAAAGGTTACTGAGAGCTCCTAAATGCAGACATCCCAGTAGTTTTGCCCATAGTGATGCTGCTGAAGTATATCCGTGTGTATAAGCTATGACAAAGCTAGAGTTAACTCTCTGTTTTCTTAAATCACTCTGTTTTCATGAATTCAAAGTTGTGAGTAATTTATATCTTACTAGAATTGTTCTTTTGCTCACTCTGTCCACAGATCATGTTTCATTAAAAGTGCTGACGAGAACCCAGAACTCTGAAGACAGCGGTTTTGTGCAAGATAAGAATGTTAGAATGTTCCTTGAAGAAGCTGATGGAGGATAGAGCTCTGGCAGTGCAAGATGACACCATAATATAGTCTGAAATTGTAAGTCTTGACAAAGGCTAGATGTCTTTAAGTTACAAGAGATTTTTGCACTCAGAAAACTTAATGGTGGGTTACAGTCTGCTTTCAGGACCTATGCAAACTTGTTTGGGTTTTTGGAGTATGCTGATATGGCTATAAACAAACTGGGTTTTCCTCAGTGGGTCAGATTCTCTCTCTACACAGATGAGAACTGAATCCCTTTCCATGAGAGGAAGTAGAGTTGATTCATCCTGTTGAGCCTGAGATCTGCACCCATCATTTTTCTGCTACTTTGTTTTTAGAGCTGCTAGGACATCTAGGAAGTTGCTGATGTAAACTTTACAACATGGCTGAATTTATTAAAGGAGTCTCCATTTCTGAAACTCTGTATTCCTAATGAACTGGTTTACTTGCAGAAGGCTGTTTGGAACCTGTAGTTACCATCAGTCATGAAATCATCAGTGCTATGAAACATACAAAATATTTCATGTGAATTTTCCAAAGCTTTGCGAAGTCTTTTGTTACAACTGAGACTTTTTGCAGTATAGGGATCTGTCACTAGGGAACAGGTGAGGTCTGGAAGGTAGATTATTGACAATTACACTTAAAGTACATCACATGGTTGCACTATGACATTAAATACAAAAATAACACTATACTTCTCAGATATGAGATAGATAACTAAAACCGGGGAGGAAAATCAGTATTAATAGATATTTTCTTGGGAACTGCAAGTCCAACAAACTTAGTTTCTTTCTGTTTCAGAGAGTGGAAGTATCACATCTCAGGCTTCCATCTACTTTTACCTTCATCACAGTTCTTTTAAGAAATTTAAATGCAATAAGCAGTCTTGCAGAGTGTGTTTCTATTTAGCAGTAGGCAGAGAGCAAATCCTGTCCTTTATTCACATGTGACAACGAGAGATGCAGGAAATAATGTTTTTGGTGAGAAATGGAGAACTGATTTCTGTATGGAAATTTACTACTATTAGCTACCAAGCTTATTTATTGTATGTACACACCTTTCTACAGAACAAGATGTGGAAAACGAAATCGTGCAACTACTCTTCTAGTAGTTACCCCAATTAAACTCTTAGACATAAATTATAGTGTAGCCATGTATGGTTGTAGAAGTTGGGAAAATTGTGTCTAAACCTGGAGGAGAGGGGAAAAAAGCAAACAAAACAAATGCAAGATGAGTTGTAACAAAAGCATGAAAATCCTCAAAGCACATGTGCTTTGATAAAGGTAGATATTTTTATCTGTGAAACCAATGTATGAAGTCTAGGTTACGTGTCCTCTTAATATCCACTCCTCTGTACTGTATCTGTGTCTGGTGGATAATGGTAGAACAGTTATTTTACAGGTAGTGATGCATTTTTATGAATAATGAAGAAGAGAACTGGGAAACTCATTACTTCTTGAAATGCATATTTACTGAGTTAGAAATTAGTCTACGTCAATCCTGCCAATTCTCTGTGTGCCTTTTCAAGGAGTCCAGCTAAAGGTATTGTCTGTGATGTGCCATTAAGAACTAGATACTGCAGAACTGATGCTGAAGTAACACTAGTCTCTGATCTTAAGTCAGTGAAGTATGAAATTGGCCTGTGAATAAAAACATACTCTCGTTGTGACTGAAGTTAAACAACTTAAATGAATTCAGATAGTGAAATCATTTGGATGAATGCATACCTCACTTCAAGGAGAGCGTGAAGAGAAATGGAATGTTTATTTTATTGCTTCTATATATCTCCCAGTCAATGCTTTGGGTTCCTTCCACTGGACTTTAGTCATGCAGATGTCTGTTAGCAGGCCAATGAGTCCTAGTGTTTAGCACTGCTGATTCTTACCCAAGGTTGATCCTACAGCTTGTGTGCTGACTGCAGCCAAGCAAATGGAGGAAGACAGGGATCTTCGCTTTCAGTTTTGTGTCATTCACTCTGGAGGCTGTACTCCAGACAAAAAAATCCCACACGACAAACTAAAGCCAAACACCAACAGTGCCATTGAATTCATAGCATTCCTCGCAGCCAGATGCTTCCTTCTTCGTAAGGCCTCAGTTTCCCTCTTCTCAACATAGGTCTCAAAGTTGGGTTTTACTTCTCTGAGCCAATTTGTCTTGCATATCATTTTCTTGTTTGTCTTTAGACACTTAAACATTTCACACCTCTTAGTAGTACAGCAGAAGTATTCACACTTCTGAGTCTCTGAAGTCTGAGCTTGAAGCTGCTTTTTCTAATCCAGAGCATCCATATGGTTCTGTGTCAGTGACTGGAGTCTGACCTAATTTTGTCCAAGGAGGAGATACTTTGTCTTACATGGGGAAAAGTTAATGGTTTCCTGATGAGCTAAATCTTTTTCTTTTTTTTTTTTTAATCATTCTTCATCTCTCGTTTAACACTGATGTTAGACATGCTTGCAGACAGTCAGCTGGCAGTATGGAGCATTTTTATTGGTCTCAGAAAGGTGATTCTGTGAGTAGCAAACATAACTCAACAGGAACCATAACCAATCCATTTTACACCATTCCAATTCCAATTAATGCTATTAGCAACTTGAATATCAGTATCATAGTTATTTCCCACTCATGTTGGAACCAGTAAGCCTTGCAAGGTATTATAAACCAATGCATTTGGAAATTCAAAACATCTCTTTTGTTAGAGAACTACCTGACATTACTTCACACACAGATTTGTTCTAGAGACTTAATAACCTTTTAATGCCACGCTAGCTACGTCTGCTGTTTGAAAGCTTTGACTTCTGGTTGGTATTTTGCCTTGTGTGCAGTGAAGGCATAGGAAAACCACTGGAGTGCTGGTGGCTTTTTAATCTCACTAGTCTTAGAGACCAGGGTTATAGGAATGGCTTTGGCTACAGATTCCAGGCTATTTGTAACAAAATGTTTTGCCTTTCCAAACTGAGTCATTTGTGGACTATTTATAAGAAGCTACACTGGAAATATTTAATTCCTGAGGCTGTGATTACTACTAAATGTTATTTGTGAATTCTTTCTTAAGTTGAAGTTTAATATGAAATTCAGTTGCGTGTATACAACCCTGTCCATCTTGATGCTTTCCAAATTAGGCTTTATTGCATTTTTCCTTAACTTCTCACTCCAGAAAGTAACATTCTTAGCAGTTTCTACCGAGAAAAACATTTTTTCCCTACAGATAGTTGCTGCTCCCTTCAATAGGAGAACATGCTCTGTTTGTAACACCTGCAGTATCAGTAGTCTCTAGTGGCATGTTCAAATTTGCTAGGAAATACAAGTGCAACATTTTATAAAGATGCAAAGAGCTTTATCAGGAATTGTTATATGAAAGGAAAACTACTGAAAAAGTAAGCTTAGAATTTTGCATGTTGGGGAGCCTTTGTTCTGCACTGTATCTTGTAGGTGCTATAAATAAGTATTTTTTGTGACAGATGATGTAGCAGAAATGCTAAGCCATGGCCTGAAGCAGTGATTGAGCACCTGGTGGGAAGGCAGGGCCAACCTAGGGAAGCTCAGGTGTATGCAAAGCACCAGAGTGACTGGAAGGGGTGGAGCCAGGATTCACCCCTTCCCAGACCTCATTTAAGGGTTGGCAGTGGAGATAAAGGAGTTTAGCTGAAGATCTCTGTGTACCTGAAGCCTTCTACAGGTAAACAGCTTCTTTCCTTTTTTTTCCTGTGTCTACAGCTGCTGCATTTGAGCAAAATCTCACTTGCTGCAGCCTAGGACCTCTCTACTCTGCTGTCATTGCTGTTCTTTCCATTGCATCAAAGGTGATTCGCAGTCAGTAAAAGCAGGTAATTCCAATTGCTATCTTCTTTCTCTTCTTGCTGCTTCAATGGCAGGAGATATTTAGCAACAAACAGCATTACAGACTTCTTTAAGGATGTGAGATAAGGGGAAGGCTGCATTGGAGTATAATAGCTAAACAAATAATACATAATTTTCTAGTATAATAGCAGGTTAGATACATCTGGAAGACAGGATTTAAAAAGCTGAGGTGTGTTAAAAGGACAGTTGTAACCAACTTTTTTTTTTTTTTTTTTGTCAGGCAGAAGCTTGCCTAATTTCAGTCTTGAAGAGAAGTTGTGTTTTGTAGCCAAGTTCCTGTGCAGATTGGTGGTCGTCAGTGTATGATAAGAGGACTGGGAGAGGAGAGGTTGAGAAAAGTAGTGAGGAACAACGCAGTCCTTTGAGTCTGCTCACTTCTCCCAGCTGTTCTCTGAAAATCAATTTGTCACAGTCAGTCCATGGAGTGTAAGCTGACAGTTGTCATGGAACAGTCATGACAACATGCAAGCGCTAAAAACTTTTTTCATGCAGCTACTTTGGGAGTTATTCTTACAGTTCTGTTCTTGAGTAGCTACCTGCTCAAAAGATACATAGGAAAACTAGCCTCAGTACATTTCCTTTGTTTCTCAGTCATTCATGCCAGTCTGCATCTCTGTAGTATTTTGGGTACAGGTGCACACTTCCATAAAATGAATGATAAGGCAGATTCCTGCAGGCTTGCTAATGGCCATGAATGTCCTTACCATGTTGAAATTTAATTTGTCTCCACTCTTGTAAGATTTAGGCCATGCTGTTTAGGTAGGGACAATTAGAAGAAGCCTGGCACCTTGGTTCAACCTCTCTGACCACTACTCTCTCAAAGATGTTGTATGAGGTGTTCCCTTGGACAGGTGTTGCTGCTTTTAAATTTATTGTCAGTTCACTGAATTACAAACAACTAAAAAACAGAAGTGTGGTTTTTTTTTTAATATACTTGTAAGCAAACTAAATTTTTTTTTCTAGCATAACCCAGAGGCTCTGAGAAAAGCATTCATTTCTTTCTGTTGGAGAATTACATTTTTCTGAAGATTCCAGAAAACCCTTTTATTTTTAAGAACAGAGATTTGCTGCTTCCTTCCTGCACCTTGATGTGTTGAGTACAGGTAGATTTATTTATTTTCTTTTACAAAACATCTGCTCTACTATTCAGTACTCCAAAGGCATGCGTTCCAACATTTTCCATCTCAGTAATGGTGCATGTTACCAGTCTGGAGCTTGGCTGTATCAGTCTTTGTTAGGAGTAAAGCATTCCCTTGCTAGTGCAGATCACAGCCACCATTCTGTTACTCTGACCAAAAACCACTTGCTCTTTAAGTTTGAGAATAGCAAACCAGAGAGGTGGAATAACTTAATTGGTTTGTTTCAGTTCTCTTCTAAATATGGTAATCAGAGTTTGAAAACATTCGTAAGATGAAATGTTGGCACAGACATCCTTTCTGTGAAACTGCAGATGTGACTATGTTGTTATGAAACTTGGGAGATCTGTGAATTATTGTAACAAATCCCATGACTGAAAAGAATGTAATGGCTACTTTATTCTGCTCATGATTGTTTCCGTGCTTCATTTAGAAGGACCACATCATTAAAATAATAACACTTTCTTTAAGTTAAAGAGGGAAACGTATAATACCTAACTTGTTCTGATACATGTGAACAGTTGGGTGCCAAATTCTGTGTGTATTTTAACCTATTATTTATTGTCTTAAACTGTGTTTTCAGACCTTTTAGGGCTCTATTCTTTGTGTAAGTTTATTGCAAGCATGTGTCATGTTTTATAACATCTCTGGGTGCTTAATTGTGTTGTTTCCAACTGAAGCAGGAATTACTATTTGTAAGTTTTCATTTATTTTGAACTTAAAACAGCATGAAAAGCAGCATATGTCCTGGACTTTTTAGGAAAAAAAAAATGTTACCTTGAATTTTCTGTATGCTCTCCAGCACCCTGGTCCTTCAAACTCTGGGTTGGAAATAATGTAGTAGAAATCTGTAGTAGAGCTTGCTGCTGAATATAGTGCTGGCTGTTTGCCATAGTTCTGCATGTTGTCAGTGGGCAGCGGATCACAAATGGAGGCTCGCTGCTGTATAGTTTTGTAGTGATGCTAGATAATGAGAGAATCAGCAATTAAACAGCAATATTTTATCTGCAGCATATTCTGTGCAGCTCGGAACATCAGTTTTCACAGTCTGTTATCCTTGAATGGATAACATTACGTTATATTTGTATGTGTTAGATTAAATTGAGAACTGATGTTCTGTGTTAATCTTGGGTATGACTTTAACATTACATAAAGATGTTTAAACACAAAAGTTGTCAGTGGTGAGATACTGGTTCAGGCATAGTGCTGAGAGGAGACAGTTACCTGTGTACCCAGGGTTTGGAAAAGGTTCTTTTCTGCTTGGCAAGTTACCTTAAAAATTGGGTCCAGATGACACAATCTGTGGCTTTAGTGTGCTTTGTCACAGCCTACTGGTGCGTGTTTATCTGGTGGATTTGTAAATCTGTACCTGTGAGATTGCTGATGACACTGGGAAGAGTAGGGAGCCCAAAGCTAGATGGAATAGTGCCTGCTGTCATTTGGGAACTTGTTTTATGAAGATACCCTGCTTGCTCTCTGGGTTGTTGATACTGAAGTAGAAACTAAGAGCAGATCTCCAAGCTGACTTCTTGTCCTTAGAAGTAGGTATTTTTTCCAGTGAGCTGTGCAGTCACCTAGCTGTGTCCATTCAATTTTTTTGCTTAATTTTTTCAAACTATACCAACCTCTGCTGCTCAGTGGATAGCTCTCGCTCTTTCCATCCGGGTCTGTCGTTTCTTCTAGCCGTGTATTTCTTTCTCTCACAAAGAGCTCAATAAGCTTCTGCCACAAATGTTTCAAACCAAAGTGTCTTCTTCACCCATCTCATTTTCTCAGATTAGCAGTTTCTGTTTAATGTTATCCCAAGCATGAAGGTAGGTGCTTTTCTCTGGAAGCTGTATTATCACCTATGTTAGTAATATTTGAAGGTGCATCACATTACCAATAAATTGAGTGAAGAGCTTAGCTGGGAGTATTCTGTATTTAGCATAAAATCAATAGCAAGTGTCTCAGCAGAAACAAATAGCCAAGCTAGTGTTGGGGAAAAGTTACAGGGAAGTTCAAAACCACTGGAGAACTAATTACCTGTATCAGATAAGGTAAAAATCAGAGGGGTTCAATGTGTGATGGCCAGAAGATGAACATGCCCCAGATAATTGGGAACAATATGTAATGATGTGATCTACGCAGATTATATAGAAATTATTGCATGCAACTCCCTCAAATATATTGGTATTTTTTTCTTAGTCCTTATGTGTTGCATTATCACAGTAGATGACATGCCAACTACCCTGAATTTTGGGGGAAGTGAGCTTTGGTGGCTTTTTATAGCTACCGAATTAAGGAAATACCATGATTTAAATTAGGGTCTGATTCTGTGGTTCTGTTTATTTCTTTAGCCCTCTTATCTACAACATGTTTTGTGTTTCTCCTTAAGCAAGGTTCTCTTCTGGGAGTTTGTGGACCTCACTTGGATTTGGACCAAAAAAAATCCCTTTTGAGGAGTGCTTGTGTTGAACTTTGTTTTTATGACGTTCAGTATCCTTGGGATGAAACGTCTTAGGGGCTAGAATATTATTAGCAGACAATGAGCTGACTGTTGATATTTCCTTGTCAATATTGGTGGACTGAACAGGATGGAACCTGACATCTTGCTTATAAGGAACTTTATCATGAAATGAAATGAGCTGGTGGTCACCACTGCCATATATGTAAAATCTGCTTCTGATTTTTGTTTCTTTTGCAACTGATCCGTATGGATGTCATCCTCCCTTACTTAGCAGGTCACAGTGGCTATTCAGAATTATCTTCTTTAGGCCAGTATTGATCCAAGAAATGGTTGCACTGATCCATCCAACTGTTTCTAGGTCAGTTCCTGAAATACTGAACTTACACTTTGTGTCTACTTGTGATTGTTGTCTTTCTTTGCTTCAGTTGCTGCATGATTTTAATAGTTGATATTCATTAAGTTACCTAAGCTAGAGGTGAGTAGCACTGAGATCTTCCTGACAAGTCAGGCTATTTGAAGCAGTTATTACAAATCATAGTCATTTACATTATAATGGTCCCTTGTCCTAGAATCATAGAATTGCTCAGGTTGGAAAAGACCTTAAAGATCATCAAGTCCAACCACAACCTACCTGTACAACCCTAACTCTAACAACGCTCTGCTAAATCATGTCCCTGAGCACCACATCCAAACAGATTTTAAATGCATTCTGGGATGGTGACTCAACCACCTCCCTGGGGAGCCTATTCCAATGCTCAACAACCCTTACTGTAAAGAAGTGTTTCGTGATATCCAACCTAAACTTACCCTGATGAAACTTGTGGCTATTTCCCCTTGTCCAGTGTATAATTAATGAATATATAGATATTATAATTATGAAATAAGAGAGTTTTGGCTAAGAGATCCTTCCCTTCTGGTAGCCAGCTCTTAAATGGGTCTAGGAGAGGTGGAGCCAGGCTCCATCCTTTCCAGCAGCGCAGGTGAATTGCCTTCACCTGTGCTCCTGTGGCTGACTCATTGCTCATCTCAGGTGATTCATCAGAGGTTCAGGCCATGAGTCAACAGTTCCCATACATCCTGTCACCAGTAAGAAGAGACCAACCCCGCTCTTGCTGTAAGCATCTTTCAGGTATTGGAAGAGAGCAATAAGGTCTTCCCTCAGCCTTCTTTTCCTTCATGTTGAACATCCCCAGTTCCTTCAGTCGCTCCTCGTAGGGATCAGGTCTCACACCTTACATAAGTATAAATTTTAAAGCTTCTCTGCTGTAGTAATCTCTTATGCATTTAGGAGATGTGAATGGATAATTCTGAGTGTTTAATTCATTTTGTTTGAGGATTTCTAAGCCTTTGATAGTCAGTCTGTCTTTGTGACGGTGGTTGA